TTATTCTTCAAGTTCTCCTTCCATTTGATAAGGCTATAAATTCAGCATTGGCTCAGAGAGTCAGGAACAGAGTCAATTTCAGGGGCTCTTTAAAAACATTCAGATTCTGCGATAAAGTGTGGTCTTTTGTTTTGAACGATGCTGAATTCAGAGAGGTGACAGAGCTTATTAAAGTGGATAAAGTGAAAATTGTAGCCTGTGATGGTTAAAACACTGGCTCCAATACTACAGGCTTAATAGAAGGGAAATATATTTTTTAAAAAATGTCATCTTTTGTTATTACTCATGGATTTTTGAAGGGAAACATAGAAGAGACTCTTAAAATGTATTCTAGCAAAGCAGAAATGATCCCATTGTGCTATGCTGTTGGAGAATTCTAGTAGAAAGGGGCTCATAACACTGTAACCACTTACATTCACTTATTAAGCAGCATGAAGAAACCCAATTTTAAAAATACAAATCAAAGGTTGTTAACTTCCTATAAATGTTCTTTAATAAATGAATCTGAAAACATGAAAAAACCCAAAGAAACTCAACTGTTGTCGTGTGCTGTGAAGTTAGAAATGACCCATCGCTGACCCTCCAGTGAGTTGTAGAGGTTGTAAATCCCACAGAAGGAGACAGAGGGTCCATCTTTCTCCCTTGGAGCAGCTGGTGGATTTGAACCGCCTACCTTTCTTTGGATTGGCAGCACAGCTCTTCCCACTGTTAGGCCATCAGAGCTTCCTACTGGAAAACTACAGCAACCCAATTCCAAGATCGCCTAGCAATCATCCAGATGCTTCAAGAATGAAGGTGGAGGTCACTATACCAGTCAGAGAAACATGAGCAGCCGAGGTGCTTGTTGAGGGTCAAGAGCATATGGAATGGGTGGTAGAAGAAGATATTTCTAAATACCAGCTATGACCATATATATACCAGTAGCAGAAATGAGACGAATGATTTTCAATATTTCTTTCTTGGGTTTTTTTTTTATGTGTATAAAATATCTCTGTTTTCTTACATTCCTTATTTTGTTACTTATTATTGAACTAGGGAGCTCTGGTGGCCTAGTGGCAAGAAACTGCACTGCAATCCTGAAGGCATGCAGTTCGAGGCCACCAGCTGCTCCATGGGAGAAGAATGAGTAATTTCCTCCCATGCAATTAACTGCCTCTGAAAACCCACCTGAGGGTCAGCTATGGGTCTGTTCTGATCTACGGTACACAAAAACAATAGCAACAATGAAACTGTAAGATGTAGATAGTTAACACACTTTTGGTTGTATGCTTCTTAATTGTATCATGTTAAGTGCAAGTATGACTTTATGATTTTCTGTTTTTAGAGGTTATGCATGGTTTAAGGGTATGTGTACAGGTGCCAAGTGGACAAGATGTGAACCATGAAGGTTAATATATGTCAATGTGGCTAGGCCATAACTCTCAGTGATTGACAGACTTTGTGCAATTGTCCTTCATTTCGTCATCTGATATGAACAAGCCAATCAGTTGAAAAGGATGTTTCCTTGGGGGTGTGGCCTACATCCAATGTATATATGGATATTCTGCCTAAGCTCTCCCCTTCTTGATCCTGCCTTTAACTCATCACCCTTTGACCTCTACTTCTTGGAACATGAGCCATCTGGCTTGAAAATTTTGAGGTTCACCAGCTTCCACAGCTGGTAGCCTGCCATCTGACCTGCTGATTTGGGGATCATCATCCTCTGCACCCACATGAGTGAGGAGGAACGTCCGGCCTGACATCTGATCCACAGATTTAGATTATGTCAGCACCCATAACTGCATGAGCCATTTCCGTAAAATAAATCAATCTCTCTCTCTCTCTCCACACACATACAACCCCCACATCACTGGCTTTGCTCTTTTAGAGAATCTAGCCTAAGACGGGTCCCTAGGGGGTGGTAATGGAGATGGAAGTGCATCTTAGCCTGTGGAAAGAACAATCCAGTACACATAAGGGGTATTCAGGGAAAAGGATGCCCAATTTAGCTGAGAAATAGAGCATATGAAGTAGATGGTGTGCTGGAATGCTGGACCAGGTGTCTGGAGACAGAGTACAGGCCTAGGAATGCCAGGCTGAAGAATCGGTTGGTTGGCAGATCATGTATTCATCAACTGTGTTCCAGGGACTGTGACAGGGAAACCAAAATGGTACTAACCATCTCGAGGTGCTGACATTCATATGCTAAGAAAATCATCCCACAAATACATATGAAATAATAACTGATGGACTTTTGACAGATTATAACAGAATTCTCAGCTCAGTTGTGGAGGGAGTGATGCTTTGACCATGTGAAGGTTGAATGGCAAATTATTAGGGTAAAAGGTAGAGGGACATAGGGGCTAACTTGTACAAAGGCCCTGGGACAGAAAGAAAGAGCAAGAGGTTAGAAAGTAAGGGAACATAGGTGGGAGGTTGTTGTTTATGGTAGAGTAGGAACTGATCCATAGCTGACCCTTTGGCAGGTTTTCAGAGGCAGTTAATCGCATAGTGGGAGATTGCCCATCCTTCTCCTACAGAGCAATTGCTGGCCTCGAACTGCCTGCCTTAGGGATTGCAGCACAGCTTCTTGCATTATTTATAAATAATTTCAAGTACCTAGTCCTCTATCCTGGGAACCATGGAAAAGTATTGAAATTTTAAAGCAAGGAGTCATGAACCAGATTTACCCCTTGGAAGAACCACTAAGTTTTCTAATATACAGAGCAATAGCCATCAAATTTTTATTTTTGAGTAGAGGCTCCTACCCTGAGGTTCATAGACACCCACATTTCCATGAGTGGATTTCAGGAACTCTGTAAACTTGGATTCTGAAAATGGTTACATGTTTGACTATTAACTGAAAGATGATGATTCAAGTCCAACCTGAGGTGCCTTGGAAGAAAGACCTGACAGTCTGCTTCTGGAAGGTCACAGCCTTGAAAACCCTGTGTTGCAGTGTTCTAACGCTGAAACATGTCAACTGGCTGGCTGGTTTGTTGGCTGGTGAATTTGAAAGGGATCAGTTACATTAGGACCGCTTGCCTTTGAATCATTTCCAAGTCATGGTGACCCTATGAGTGTCAGAGCAGAACTATGCTGGGTAAAATTTTCAAAGACTAATTTTTCAAAAGCAGAAAGCTAGACCTTCCTTCTGAGACATCTCTGAGTTCAAACTGCCCACCTTTGGTTAGCAGCTGAGTGCTTGTAGCTCTTTGTACTGTTGTTGTTGTTGTGTACTGTAGAGGTGGAACTGACCTATAGCTGACCCTCCAGTGGGTTTTTAGAGGCAATTTATTGCACGGGAGGAGAGTTCCCATCCTTCTCCCACAGTGCAGCTGGTGGCCTCAAACTGCATGCCTTCAGGATGGCAGAGCAACTTCTTACCACTAAGCCACCAGAGCTCTTTGCACTGTTGTGGTTGTTGTTATGTGCCATTGAGTCACCTGTGACCCATAGCAACCCTATTTTCAGCTGCTCTGAAGCCTGCCCTGTCCTGAGCCAGTCTCACTGATTCTGACACATCAACCCCCACTGCCCTAATTACTGTAGCAGTCCATCTCATCCAGGGTCTTCTTTTCCTGCTCTGTCCCACCACTCTTCCAAACATGATGTCCTTCTCAAAGGACTGGCCTTCCTGGCCATATACCCAAAATGGATGAGGTGGAGCTTCAAAATCCTTGGCTCTGAGGAGCAGCCTGGTTTCACCCTCTCCAGGAAAAATTTGTCTGTTCTCCTAGGGTCCATGTTCAGTACTCTTCTCCAGCACCATAACTCAAAGGCATCGATTCTTCTTCTATCCTCCTTAGTTATGGTCTAGCTATCTGATGCATAGCAAGTAATTGAGAAGATTTTGGCCTGGATCAGGCACACCTTAGTCTCCAGACCGACATCATTGTTCTTAGGTACTCTGGAGAGGTTGCTGACAGCAGATTTACCCAATTCAATTTGTCTTTTGATTTCCTGGCTTTTGGTAGCAAGGGTGTTGATTGTGGAGCCAAGCAAGCTGAAGCTGTTAGCAGTCTCAGTCTCTTTACCATTTATCATGATGCTGCCAATTGGACCAGTGGTGAGAATCTTTGTCTTCTTGATGTTGAGCTTCAATCCATTCTGGGAGCTGCAGTCCTTGACCTTCTGTAACGAATGCCTTAGGTCCTCCTCAGTTTCAACAAGCAAGGTTGTATCATCTGCATAATGCAGGTTGTTGATGAGTCTTCCTCCAATCCTGATATCACATTCCTCCTCATAGAGCCCAGCCTTCTGGATAGTCTGTTCTGCATAGAAATTGAAAATGTATGGAGATAGGATATATCCCTGGTGTATACCCTTCCTGACTTTTAACCATGTAGTGTTTCCTTGCTCTGTTCTGATGACTGCCTCCTGATCCAAGTATCGGTTTTGCATAAGCACAATCAAGTGTTCTGGATTCCCATTCTTCCAAGAGTTAGCCACAGTTTGTTGTGATCCACTCAGTCAAATGCCTTTGCATAGCCAATCTCTTTAATTCTCAAAACAATCCTTGGAGGTAGACCTTGGTATTATCTCAGTGCGTGGATAAGGATGTTGTAACTTATCCAAAGTCAGGCAGTTGACTAGTGGCAGCCCTCGAGTTGTAGGGCAGTTCTTCTCTACCTGTAAACCCACCCTCTCTCTCTGGGCGCTGCCACCTCCATCTACAACATGAGACTTGGAGTGATATATTTGAGGATTGGCCACAGCACTATGAAGAGTGTGGATTTTAGGAATAAGTAGTGGAGAGTGGTGGTTAGTGGTAAGGAATTGTGTTGTCAACTTAAAGGCACATGGTTCAAACCCACCAGCTGTTCTGAGGAAGAAAGGACATTCTCCTCCCGTGTGATTTATTGCCTCTGAAAAACTGGAGGTTTAGTTATGATTCAGTTCTGACTCAATAGTACAAAACAACAACAGTGGAGATTGGGGCAAGGTTTTTGCCTAGATGCACCTGCCCTAAAGCTTCTCTCCTTCTTTTTCCAGGGTTTTCTCCACAGCCGCTCTGCCCACAGAGATCCGCCGACTGCAAGAAGCAGTGTCATCGTGACTACTACCTGAACAAGGCTGGCCGCTGCACGGCCTGTGTGAGCTGCTCACGAGGTGAGAGCCTTGTCCTCCCCTGGAGCTCCTTCCAGCGAACATGGGGGCTTCTGAGGAAACGCAGAAAAGCTTGAAAGTGAAGAGCACTGGGCTTCAGTTCTGCTGGAGCCTCAGTTTGCTGCCCTGGATTTGCAAATTGCTATCAGTCATGCTTTTCAGAGAGACTGGCTTAATTTTTTTTCCCCCCAAGAGGACTCACATTTATTAAGTTTTGTCTTCATGACATCACTCTTGTCTTATCCCTGTTTACAGTAAGGAAACAGAGGCATAGTGATGGTAAGGGCCGTTCCAAAGGGTATAAAATGCTAGGAACTAACAGAACTGGAATTTGGGGCTGGTGGCCAGAGAGGAAGAGTTGTTTCTTTCCCCAAGATCACAGTGCTTTTGGGAGAATTCTTTCTACAGGCAGTTTTACTGTTAATTTTTTTTATTAATGAAAATGGTCTATATGCATTTTTTAAAAAATTTTTTATTTTGTGTGGGTTTATTTAGAGATCAAAACTCTTTGTCATTGTGTCCAGAGGAACTCATAGCTAACTCTGCTGGGTTTCTAAGGCTGTAAATAGCAGGGAAGGAGATTGCCCATCTTTCCTCCAAGGAGTCACTGGTGGATTCAAATTCCCATTCAGTCTTTGGGTCAGCAGTGCAACTCCCTCTGGATGAGGCCTGCAGAGCTGCCCAGGGGTCGTGGTGGTCACGTTGAGTTCAACTCATAGCAACCCTATGAACAACAGACCTGAACCCTGTCCTATCCTGTGCCACCCTCACAATCTTTGACGTACGAGCTCTTTCAAAGGCATCAATTCTTCTGTGAGCTTTACTTTTTGTCCAGTTCTCAGGTGCACAGCAAGTGATTGGAAAACTATGGCCTGAATCATGTGTGCCTTTGTCTTCAAACTGCCATTGCTGGTCCTCAGTAATTTGGAGAGATTTTCAACAGCAGACTCACCTAAAGTTATATATTTCCTGATCTGTTAACTTTTGGTAACAAGGGTGCTGATTGTGGAGCTAAGTGAGATGAAATAATTGATAATTTCAGTCTTTTATCCATTTGTCATGATGTTATTTATCAATCAAGTGATGATGATTTTTATTTTCTTGATGTGGTGATGATGCAATCTATATTGAAGGCTGTAGTCTGATTTTCTGCAGCAAGTGTTTCAAGTCTTCTTTACTTTTAACAAGCAAGGTTGTGTCATCTGCATAATGCAGGTTGTTGATGAGTCTTCCTCATATTCTGATGCCACATTCTTCATTGAATGCAATTGATATGGACAAAGGATACAATCCATGTACACACTTTTCCTAATTTTAAACCATGCAGTGTTCCCTTCCTATGTTGGGACAACAGCTTCTTGGTCTAAGTATAGGTTTCATATAAGCATAATCAAGTGTTCTGAGATTTCCATTTTTCCTCAAGGTTAGCTACAATTTATTATGCTCCACACAGTCAGATGCCTTTGCATAGTCAATACTTAGAGACATTCTTCTGGTACTCTCTGCTCTCTGCCAAGATCCACCTGACATTGGCAATAATATCCCTAGTGCTATGACCTCTTCTAAACCCAGCCTGTATTTCTGGTAGTTCTCTGTCAATATACTGTTCAAGTGTTTTCTGGATAATCTTCAGGAGGATTTTGCTAGTGTGTGATATTAGTGATATTGTTCAATTATTTCTACACTCTGTTGGGTCACCTTTATTTTTATTATTTTTTGAATGGGAATAAATATGGACCTCTTCCAGTCAGTTAGTTCTGCTTTATCTTTGATTGCTTCTTTGAGTGTTAATTTATCTGTCCAATCATGTTCACCTTTGTGGACTCCAGGAACCCTTATATTAGATTGTCTTTGCCTGTTGCTCCTATCTCATTTTTAGTTGCATTTATACTGTTGCGTTTTTACTTTACATGCCCTGACATTATTATTTGTTTTTCTGATTCTTTTTCCATCCCACTCATTCAACTTTCTGCCAAGTCCCTTTTCTGTCTCACCTCTCAGGTATCAGCAGCCCCCTCGTAATTTTTTTATTAGATTTCTAGTGATCCTGTTGTTCTTCTTAGTTTGTTTCTTTTAGCTCTGAAGTCTTCCTTCCTATCTTGTTTGAGAATCTTTCCTTTGACCTCTTTATTAAACTTGTGTTATTATTAAGTTTCTTTATAGGATGACCCTCTCCTGGATTTTGTTTCTTTGAGATTCTGTCTTTGCCAGGTATGTCTTGTCTTCTTTGCTTTTTCTGTTCATTTTTTTCCTTGTCTTCTTTCTTTCTTCCTCTTCTTTCGTTGAAGGGTGTGTTTGCACAGCTGCACCTTTTCATTCACTTATTTATTCTTGTTCAAGCTTCGAAGGGCCAGCCACTCCTTCCCGTCTTCTTTTTGCCCTGACACAGTGTGAGTGACTTCTTGATGACTATGCCTCATGGGACTCTAGTTTGTTTTCTCAGCTTGGAGCTTGGACTGGGGACAGTGTCCTTTTGAAACTCATTTTAGGAGTTTAAGGGGCTTGAAAGGAAAACAGAGCTGAGTTAGATTTGGGTGGAGTCTCTGCTGGGAGACAGGATCTTCTTTCTAGTTGAATTCCTCTTATATAATCTTTATTGGAGCTCCTGCTGCCTAGGAGGGCACGCACCCCAGCTCCGTGGTTCCCGCACGTTCTCAGATCTTGACATAGCTCCCTAGATGGCGGCAAGACCAGGCTGTGTCCTGCCTCTGGTGAGCGAGGCTTGTGATACTCTGTAGGAGCTGCTCTACAGAGAGGATTTTTCTTGAATTTTATAGAGATGTCTACTCACAGCTCTTGCTCTGCTTCTTTGCAAATAATTGAGAATTCTTGGAATGTTATTCTTTTTCAAGTATCGTTTCTAAAGTGCAGGTCAGCCATAGGGACCACACGAATATCTACAGCAAGAAAGTTAAAGGAAGGAGAGTTTCTTGAATTAGTTTTGTGGACCAAGTCTGAGAAATCCTTATATTGTTTTAAACTGTATTGCATTGACCATATCAGACTGTCAAACTGCAAAGGAGGCTGGAGAGTGTAGTTTTTCTCTGAGCTCATGTGAAAGTGGATGTGGTGAATACGTAGCTTTGTGCTCCAGGGAATCTCTTTTTATAGCTGCGAGTTCCTGTTTTGAGGATATTCATTATGCTGATTTTGAAGATTTGTTTTATTTTCTCTTTTATAAGCGTTGTAGAGTGTTCTTTTTGGGTTTACACACGTCCTCATTTATGTCAAGTAGGAAGCAGCTCAGAGCTGACTCACCAGTGGGTTTTCAGAGGCTATAAATTGCTCAAGAGGAGACTGTCTTTTTCCTGAAGACAGCTGGTGGATTTGAACCACCAGCCTTTGGGTTTGAAGCACATCTCCTTACCTACTGGGCCCTTTAAAATTTGTTGTTGCTGATATGTGTCGTTTAGCTGGAATTGACTCATAACTGACCCTCCAGCAGGGTTTCAGAGGCTGTAGATCACACAGGAGGAGATTGCCCATCTTCTTCCCTCAGAGGAGCTCGTGGGTTAGAACCACCTGCCTCTGGGCTGGCTGCACAATTCTTTACTCCTAGGCCACCGGTTTTCCTCTAATGTTTGGTGACTACTGGTTCTATTGTGTGGCCATGGAAATCTGAACCTGCTTCCAAGGATTGTGGGTGCAAAGGGGCCTAGTAGGTGCTGGGCAGAGTTGGCCAGTGGCTGGTCTTCTGGGCCTGTGGCTCCTTTACCTCCCAGGTACAGCACATTTCACAGCTCACCTTACTTAGAAGTTTCCTTGGCAGGAGATGCTCGGCTTTTAGCTTTGTGGCGTAAGGCGGGGGGGGGGGGGAAGTATGAGGGCAGACTGCCCACGGGCCTCCTCCAGGTGTACCCCGCGCCATGCTCGCTGGCCCTCCTCCTGCCTCTGTCATGGACTCATTGAGACTACTGCATCCAAACCCTCTCCCACCTTCTCCAGCATGATCCTTTTGTGTATGTTTTGTGCTCTGGTTTCCTTTTTCCATCTGCCTTCCATATCCAGGGAGTCTTCATCACTTCTGTTTGATTAAGGGTATCTCTTCATGATTTCCACTGAGATTATGTATGAATTAACTTGCTGTTTTTTTTAAAGCAGTGATTTTTTAAAAAGGAAGTAAAATTTATACAATATAAAGTCACCACTTAAACTCTTTTAAGGTGCACAATTCAGTGAATTTTAGTATACTCATAGTGTTGTTCAGACCAATTTTAGAGCTTTTCCGTATTTCTCAATTCTCCAATCTCCTGTGACCCGCCAACCCACATCTGTCTCTATTGTTGTTGTTGAATATGACTCATAGTGACCCTGTGAACAACTAATCTGAAACGGTCCTATCCTGTGCCGTCCTCACAATCTCTGACACACTCAAGCTCATTGCTGTAGTCACTGTGTCAGCCTACCTGGTCGAGGTTCTTCCTCTCTTTTGCTGTCCCTCCACCTTCCCAAGTATGGTGTCTCTCTCCAAGGAGCAGCGTCTCTTAGCAACATTCCCTAAATAAGTAAGATAAAGCTTCATCATTTTTGCATCCAAGGAACACTCCGGATGCACCTTCTCCAAAACATATCTATGTGTTCTTTTGACAGTTCATGGCATGCTTAGCACTATTGTCCAGCGCCACAGTTCAGAGGCATCAATTTGCCTGTCTCTATGGGCTTGCTTATTCTGGACATTTCATAAGGAGTCTTGGTGCACAGCAATTAAATGCTTAGCTACGAGCGGAAAGGTTGACCTTTTGAATCCACGAGCTGCTTCATGGGAGAAAGATACGGCAGTCTGCTTCCACAAAGATTTATAGCCTCCAAAACCCTTAAGAATTGCTATTGATTCTATATAACAACAGGGTTAATTTTAATTTCTTGATTATTTTTAGTTTTGGACATTTCATATAAATGGAATCATACAGCCAAAAGAACAAACAAGTCTGTCTTGGAGGAAATACAACCAGGGTACACAAGGTGGTGAAACTTTGTCTCACATGCGCTGGACATGTTGTCAGGAGGGCCCAGTCCTTGGGAAAGGACATCATGTAGGAAAAGTGGAGGGACAGAGAGAAAGAGGAAGAAGCTCAACAAAAGGGATTGACACCGTGTAACCATGGGCTCCAGCATAACACCGATCATGAAGAATGGCTCAGAATAGACACCGTTCAGATCTGCTGTGTATAGATAGGGTCACTGTGAGTTGTAGTTGATTCGACGGCCTGTAACACCACCACACAATATGACTTTTGGTGTCTGGCTTCTTTCATTAAGCATCGTATTTTGTCAAGAGTCATCCATGTTGTAACATGTATCAGAACTGCCTTTGTTTTTAGGGCTGAATTCCACTGTATGGTATACCAGATTTTGTTTTATCTATTTATCGGTTGATGGACAATTGTATTTCTACTTTTTGGCTGCTGTGAATAATGCTGCTATAAGCAGTCACATCTAGTTTTTGGGTTTTTTGTTCTATGTGTGTGAATTTATTTTCAATCTCTTATTTCTATAGCTAGGAGCAGGACATCTGTGGCATATGGTAACACCATGGTAACTTTTTTAGGTTCCTTTTTAGGAACTGCCAAATTTTTGTTTTTTTTCAGTTGTTGCACCACTGGCAATGTATGTGTGCCATTTTTCTCCACATCCTCCCCAACACTTGCTGTTTTCATCTTTCTGAAAATCATAGCCGCTGTTGTGGTGTGAAGTGATAGCTCGTGCTTTGATTTGCATTTTCCTGATGACTGATGATGTTGAACATTTTCGTGAGGACGTCTTCACCATTTCTATGTCTTAGAGAAATATCTAGTCATTTCCTCTGCCAATTTCTAAATTGAGTCATTTACTCGTGTTTAATGCCATTTCTCTTATTACCGGAAATGTGGGCTGGTAAGTCATTTTACCCTCATCTCAGGACCACTCTGGAAAGAGAGACTGAGCACACCAGCCGTCCTACCCAATCGAAGCCCATAGAAGCGTCTTAGTTCATTTTATTACTGTCCCTGGGTGTCCTGAGCCTCATAATCATCTCCCTTGCTTCTTCTTGTATCTATTACCTGCTTATGGGAACCCCCCTCCACACTGAACTAGAGTTGAGGCACATTGTGTAAAGTGTACAATCTGATACGTCTTCACACCTATATGCACAGCTGTGAAACCCTCACCACAGTCAAGATATTGGCCATGTCAACCACAGAAGTTTTCTCAAGCTTTGTCTCCACCACATTCCCAGGCCATCGTTGAGCTTCTCTTAATATTATGGGATAATCTGTGTTTTCTAGAGCTTTGTATCAAGGGAATCATGCAGTATGTATCTCTTTTCAACCAACTTCTTTTCCTCAGACTAAGGTTTAGAGCAGGCCATAAGGCCTGCCCCTTGGAATAGCCAAATGAGCATTTATTTTCTTGTTGGATGACCCCTGGGCAAATGCTTTGTTCCTCTCATCTGAGGAGGTTCCCTGATCCCCTTTCCCTTGTTCTCTCTTTATCCTTCCCATGCCTTTTCTCTCTTTGTCCTTAGGTGACCTCGTGGAGAAGATGCCTTGCACAAGGGACTCACCCCGAGTCTGTGAATGTCGACCTGGAATGTTCTGTGTCACGACAGCCACCAATTCCTGTGCTCGCTGCGCCTCTCACTCCACCTGCTCGATGGGCATGATTGTCAAACTTCAGGGTAAGCACTTCTGTGGGTGAGTGCGACTAGCCCTGCTGCCCCACTCCTCCCCAGCAAACGGCTTCTGGCTCCTAATTCTGCCTTCTTGTTAACTGGACCATGTCTCCATTCCCAATGACATGGATGCATCAGCCGCCCACAGCCCTCTGCTGCCTCTTCCCTGTGCCTTAGGCTTTAGGCTAAGCGATTCTGGTGGCCTGACACCCAGTCCTTGTGGAGGACAAGTTGTGGCACCTCTCTGATGTGCTTTCAGAAACATTGGGGCTTGTTTCTTGACTCAGAATTGGGTCATTGGGAGTTAGTGATGCCAGAGACGGGGCCAGAGATGGGGCACCAGGCTCAGGAATGAGAAGCGTAGGTTTCTCCTTCAGTTTGCTGCGGGGACTCAGGCAATCCCTTACTTTTCAGGGCTTCTCATTTGCTGAAAGGATAGGATGGAGGGTGTGTGTCTTGACCAGAGAAAGGAGAAGTGCAAAAGAGCATGTCCGAGAGTGTATTTGAGAAGGGAGGATAAGGGGCGTGGATGTGCTTTGGGCCACAGATCACACAAGAATGTCACCGCCATAGAGGGACACAGAGAGAGAGCAACATGCCCACCTCTGCCGTGTCCACCGCCGAGACCAAGCTCCTGACCCCTCCACACCAACCTGGCGCTGTCTTAAAGCCCCATCTCCTGCCGCACAACCCTGATACCCAGCAGCAGCTCTGTCCCTGACACCCTCTCCCGCACCTTTCCCCTTTCCCTGACCCCCACTTCCGGTAGCTTTCACCTTTCCATTATTTCTCCCACCCTCTCAATTCTTCCTCTCATTTTGCCCCATGGCAGACAGCCTGAGCGACTGCTGTTAAACCACGCAGGTTTGTTTTGTTGTTAGGTGCCGTGGAGTGGGCTCTGACTCGTAGCAATCCCGAATGCAGCAGAATAAAATCCCGCGCAGCCCTGCGCCACCCTCACCCCCATGCTGCTCCCGAGCCCCTTGGTGCAGCTGTCAAAATCCTTCAGCCTCATATCAGAAAGAGGTTCTTATTTTCATTTCTATATCATGACAGGATTGCAAAGAGTAGAAATAGGTTGCTTGGAGGTATTTGACGAAGAGTGGCTTAGTACTTTGTATATTCATTATCGGGGTGAGCTATACTAACACAAAATGTAAGGCTATATTATTGAAGGCTAGCATTCTCTTTTGAGGATTAGGTCAGTTGGTGGACTTCAATTGGTAGTTATGACACTTCTCATGTTTTGGAACAATGACTATGGGAAAATGGCTTAATAAGAGTTCTACATTTAGGCCTGTCGCTTAAAAAATGGATGTATTGTATATTTTAATCTCATGGATAACTGTTTCTGGATAAAAAGTTTAAATCTTCAGACTTTTGTGTTTAAGGGGTCTTGTAACGGAACTAGGATCCATTGTTTAGATGGAGCTCAGTCATTATCTTCTTGGATTCGGATATCATTTGAGCCATAAGTGTCAATGTATAAATTTGTTTTGATTAAATAATTTTTCTATAAAAAAATTCCTTTGGCCTCTTCTCACGAAGACTCATGAGGACAGGCGTTTGTTAAGACTTATCATGTCTGTGCTCTTTGGCATTTCCAGCTTTTAGCAGACTCTGGAATTTAGCACCATCATTCCTCAGGTCCTGAGGTCTCTAGCTTGTCTTCCTCCTTCTCTCCACCCTACAGAGACTCCTGACATTTGCTTCATACCTAATATTCAGGCCTTTAGTTGTATTTCATGCTGATTCACTGATGGACCTGACTCATAGCTGGTCTTCTAGAGACTTTTTGGGAGGCTGTAAATCATACAGGAAGAGATCACTCATCTTTATGCTGAGGAACGACAGGCAGATTCACACCACCAGAGAGCTGCTGCCTCTGGTTAACCTAATGCCGTATGGACTACACCACTGGGTTTTTGGTGGGAGGAATAAGGAGCCCAGGTGGTGCAATAGTTAAGTGAAAGATTGGTTGTTTGAAGCCATCCATCTCTCTGCAGAAGAAAGATTTAGCAGTCTGCTTCTGTAAAGATTTGCCACCTGGAAACTTTAAAGTCCTGTACGGTCACTATGAATTGGAATCTACTTCATGAAGATGGGTAAAGTGGAAGGAATAGGAAAAAGTGGTATTAATTCTGCTCCTTCTTCCTAGATGCCTAAATCTTAAGGATATAGTTCTTAACATGACCCACATGGGAAGAGGCGCTGAATCGTCTGGGTTCAGCTCTAAGCAGTAACTCACTTTCTGGGCTCCAGCTAGTCTGGTTCTTTCTGAGGTGTACTGATATGCTATGCATCTTCCTTCTGCCAGGCCTTCGCACTGCTTTTCCCTGGGCGGTGCAAATGGTTAACATACTTGGTTGTGAACCCAAAGGTTGGTGGTATGAGCTCACCCAGAGGTGCCTTGGAAAAAAGGCCTGGCAAACTCTTGTGAAGTGCCGGTCAGCTGATTCTAGCTCTTAGTGACCCTGTGTAACAAAGCAGAACTTCCCTGTACAGTTTCCTAGCTTGTAATCTTTATAGAGAAGGATCCTGATAACACAGTGGTTACATTTGACTGCAAAAGGAAAGATCAGCTGTTCAAACCCACGAACTGCTCCATGAAATGAAGACTCTTCTGTTAAGATTTCTACTCTGTCCTATAAGGTTGCTATGAGTGCATCAGAATGGACTCAGCGGTAACGGTTTTTGTTTGTTTGCTTCTAGTCTTTATGGGAGCAGATTGCTAGGCTTTTCTACTTTGGGGCTATTGAGTGGCTTTGAACTTCTAGCCGTTCAATTAAGCAGTCTTTTGCTTAACCATTGTGCTACCATGACCCCTTAAAATTGCCTATTGAAACTCTGTGGAGTAGAGTTCTACTCTGACACACATGGGGGTGCCACGAGTCAGGGTCAACTCCATAGCAGTTAGTTTTCTGATTCACTAAGCCCTGAACTTGCTGTCTAAATGTCACTGCCTCTAGATGGCTTGCCTGGACCTGCCACTGTTTCCTCTGTCTCCCTAATGATCTTTCGTTGCAGCTCAATTTGCCTTTGTTATTGTCTCCCTGTGGAGACTGTGGGCTCTGTGAGGACAAGACCTGGCCATTGTGCTCACTGCCATCTTCCTAGGGCATCGTCCGATGCCAGCACCAAAGATGCACTCAAGAAATACCTGTTGAATGACCCGGTGGGGAGAAGAGGGAGTATCTGATGGTAGAATAAAAGCTAGAACTGGGGGAGATCAGATTGCAATCTGTCTGGTTTCCTCCTGGGTCACAGAAAAACACTTAGCTAAGGAATGCACGGATGCCTTCTACTCAGAAAGCAGGATGGTTGAGTGGAAAGTGGACCAGGCAGCAGACACCTGGGTTTTTATATAGCTTTATCTCTTCGGAACATGTTCCCACGCCTCTGTGGGTCTCTATCTTTCACCTGTAGAATGAGGTGATGTGGTTAAAAGGCTCCTGGGCACCTTTCCAATTCAGAAATTAAACTCTCCATCCAGGGCTTGTGGACCAGGTTGGGCCTGGGTCGGTCCTCTGGGAAGCATTCCTGAAACTGCCACATGGTGGCGCCAGAGGCCTCTCTCTGTTGCCTATTGCGCCTATCTTGCTGTTTGTGGTTCAAAGTTCATACCTTGACTCAACATCTAATGTGGCTGTTAAGCACTTGGTATGTGGCTGGGATCCACCTAGGAGTTGTACAGGAAAAACACCTGGTGATAGGCTTCCGTAAAGATTACAGCTTAGAACTCCCTATTTAACTCTATAAAAGGATGTTACTATGAGTTCCAAGTGTAAAATAAGCACTGAATTTCAAATTAGTAAAAAAAAAAAAAGCCCCATAAAACACAAGTTAACATGACTTTTATTTTGATTACATGTTGATGATGTTTTAGATGCTTTGGTTTAAATAAGTATCTATATTTGGAAGCATCTACTTCCTAAACAACATGTCTCTGGAAACTATGAACTTGATAAATGACGAGAGTTACAGAAAGGCTTCAGGTCTTTTGTTGACAGGGTTGCTATGAGTCATGTTTGACTCAATGGCAATCAACAATAACAACAACAAGATGAAATTCACTGGCTTCTTTTTATTTTGTCATTTTAAGAATTTTTTATTATTAATTTTAATGAAAATTTATAGACTTAGGGTTTCCATTCATTCGTTGTTGCACTTTTCTCCCTGCCCACCCCCTCCTGCTTCTTTTTACTTTGTAATGTGGCTGCTAAACAAAACATATTAGAAAACAAACAAGCAAAAAACTCAACCCACTCTCCACCAGCTTTCAGAGGTTATGAACCTTTATGGAAGGAGACTACCCATCTTTCTCGTGAAGAGTGGCCGGTAGATTTGAACTGTTGACCCTTTCTCTTAGCAGCTTAACACATTATGCCACCTGAGATACTAGTTTATTGTTCTTGTTGTAGTGTTGTTGTGTGCTATTGAGTCACCTGAGATTTGTAGTGACCCTGTGTACATTAGCTCTAAACCCTGCCCTATCCCAAGCCATTCTCATCTTTGACAGACCCAATCCCATTTCTTCAGTTACTGAGTTACTCCATCTCATCTTGGGTCTTCCTCTCCTGGGCTGTCCTTCTACCCTTCCAAGCATTATGTTCTTCTCCAAGGAGTGATCTCTCCTGAAAACATGCCCTAAATATGTGAGATGGAGCTTCAAAATCCTTGCCTCCTGGGAGCAGCGTAGTTTCACCCTCTCCAGGACAGATCTGTTTGTTCTACTGGCAGTCCATAGTATGTTCAACACTCTTCTCCAGCACCACAACTCAAAGGCATTGATTTTTCCTCTATCATCCTTAGTCATTGTCCAGCTCTCTGACACATAGCAAGTAACTGTGAAGCCCATGGCCTGGATCAGGGACACCTTAGTCTCTACACTGACATTGTTGCTTTTCAGTACTCTAGAGAGGTCTCTGTCAGCAGATTTTCCCAATGCAGTTTGTCTTTTGATTTTCCTGACTGCTAGTGCCGAGAGTGTTGATTATGGAGCCAAGCAAGCTGACGTTGTTAACAATCTCAATTTCTTCTCTGTCTATCATGAAGCTGCCAATTGGCCCAGTGATGAGAATCTTTGTCTTCTTGATGTTGAGCTTCAATCCATATTGAAGACTACAGTCTTCTGCAGCAAACCTCATGTTCTCTTTGGTTTCAGCAAGCAAGGTTGTGTTTTCTGCATAATGCAGATTAGGATATTTAAAATTATATATGTGATTTGCATCATATTTCTGTTGTACAGTGCTGCTTTAGAAGAAGGGTTCTGACCTTTGGCCCCTAAAGCCAGCTTAGTTTCTGGAAAACTCTGTGCACTCTCTGCAGGGCAGTTCTTAGGCCTCAGTTTCCCCATCTGTAAAGTCTGAAGCCCTTTCTACTTCGTATTCCGCTTGTGGTTAACAGCTCTCACAGCCTTTCCCTCCTGAAATCTCAATATTTGCAAAGGCTCATGATACCAGTCCTGTTTTAAATGGAGGAAATGAAATCTGTAGAGGGCACATCAGTTGTCCAAAAGCACAGAGATGGGAAGAGAAGACCCTGGATTTGAAACTGTGAGTACACCAAGCTGCATATGCATAGGAGAAATCAGCATTACTGGATTTACCTCTCCTGAAACCTTCAGATCACATCCCAGAACCTATGCATTATTTTATAAAAAGGTGAGATGGGTTTCCAGATGGGGGAAAGGGCATCCTTGCCATGTGCCGCCCACACAGACAGTTCTGACTGCTTCAGGCATGGCTGAATCCAGGTGCTCTATTTTTACCACTGCCACCCCTCCCCCCGTCACCTGTTTCTGTTTCCTTCCTATCTTCATTTTTCTGTAAGATTCCTATCAGTATCTTCATTTCTTATGACATACCAATGCCAATGGAAAGAAAGCTTCTCCTTCTGACATTTTCAACAACCAAAAACAAATCCTTGCATTTGCTTCTGAAAGGCCTGGTTCTCGGGTGCTGTGTCCATCCAAAGCCAGTCCATACAGTCAGAGAAGCGGAACGAATGGATTGTTCCAGCCTGGTCACATGGCTTCTCCTGGAAGGAAAGTCAGCCAGTCCCAGGTCTGATCCATAGACACTGAATTTGGGGGAGAATAATAAATACGCCAAGGAAAATTGATCCGCTTCACCCTCAAGGGGACATTGGTATTCTCAGGTACGAGTACCAGTTAGCCACTGTCCTGTCCAAGTCCCCCATTCCTACTGCTTTGTGGGGTGGGAGACTTATTCCCCAAAGACCTCACCATTTCTGAAGGCACCGCTGTCCCCCTGCAGGTACAGCAGAGAGGGACACTGTCTGTGAGCTTGCTCCCCGCAAGACCCATCCTGGCTGCAGCACCAGCTCAGAGGACTGCAAGGCGCCCACCAGGTGGCTCCCCAGCCCTCTTCTCTCCTTCCCTTCTAGATGACCTTCAGTGGCATTGTCCCAACCCCAGAGCAGCCCCAGGGCAGGGCAGGGGGTGCAGGAGGGTCCAACCCAAAGTGTTGGGATAACAGGTGTCTATCTCTCACACCCACAAATCACATGAGGCCCACTGTGTGCCCGGCCTAGCCTAGGGCACAGAGGAGACCAAAAGGCTGAGAAGACTGGCTTCTAAGAAACCTACTGTGGGCTCGTGGAGGCAGGAGCCGAGGGCCTGGGGCTCCTCCCTGTAGATCTTGCCTCCTTGTCCCATCTGGAGAAGCCCCCCCCCCCCTTTTGCCCCATCCAGACAAGGGCTTTGATTGCCTGGCTTATCTCAACGTCTTCTCCAGAAACACCACTACTGAGGCCACATCCAACCTGAGCCAGGTGCACACCCCAGAAGATACTTTCAAAGAGAGACTTCCTCACTCTCCTTCCTCCCCAGGGAAGCCCAGCCCAGATCCAGGTAAGCTCTCTACAAGCTTGACACTTAGGGCAACTGGTGTGTGTGATTGTGACCAGCTTGGAGCTGTGGGCAGCGGGCTGAGCTTTTTTCTGGCAGGAGGAGGAGAAGGCCTCAGAATCTCCTGAGACAGATGAATGGCGGGAGGGGGAGAGATAGACAGTGGAAGGGCTTATTCATTTGGCAGCATCTTTTTAGTATCCAAGGAGCCCTGATGGCATAGTGTGCTGTGCGTTGGGATGCCAACCAAAAGGTTGTTGTTATTGTGTGCTATTGAGCCGGACCCTCCAGTGGGTTTTCAGAGGCCATAAAGTGCATGGAAGGAGATTGCCTATCTTTCCCCCATAGAGCAGCTGGTGAATTTGAACTGTGTGCCTTTGGGTTGACAGCACAACTCCTTACAATTAAGCCACCAGAGCTCCCAACCAAAAGGTAGGCAGTTCGAATCCACAGCTGCTTGATGGGAAAAAGATGGGCAATCTCCTCCTGTAAGAATTGACAACACTGGAAACCCGATGAAGGGTCACCATGAGTTGGAATAGATTCAGTGGCAGTAGGTACTGTGTGCCAGGGCCAAGTCTGGGGTGTATCAGACCCTGGTCTGTCTTTATGTGCCAAGAACAGGGTGAGACAGGCTTTGGAATTTACTCTATGACAAAATGTATTTAAACCATGAAGCGATAAGTGCTGAAGGAGAAAATTCCAGAAGGAGGACTCTTGAGGGTGTGAGAGAGTGAAAATAGTGGACATGCTGGAGCAGAGAAGGGCAGAGCAGAAAACAGGAAGTCAATTAGAGTTCTTGTGTGTGATCTTAGATGTGTTCATACCCTCTCTGACTCCCTGTAAGAAGCAAGACTGTCTGGGGTGTGTGTGTGTGTGTGTGTGTGTGTGTGTGTGTGTGTGTGTGTGTGAAATCTGGGAGCCAGCCAGTTGTTACCCTCCAGTGGCTCCTCAGAAGAAAGATGGGCAGCCTTCGCCTGTGTACTTTAGTCTTGGAAACTTGATGGAGAGTCATTATAAGTTGAATCTAACTCAATAGCACTGAGCTTTTGGAGAGCTGTATGCTGAGTGTTGCAGGGACGAAGTGGAGGAGTGAGGCCTCCACCAATGCGGACCTGGCCTGAAGTTTCTGTGCTTTTTCCAGGGCTGTCCTCACAAAAGCCATGCCCAGAGGGGTCTGCAGACTGCGGGAAGCAGTGTGGGCCTGACTACTACCTGGACAAGGCTGGCCGCTGCACCGCCTGCGTGAGCTGCCTGAGAGGTAAGAGCTTCGTCCTCTCTCAGGGGCTCCTTCCTGGGGTGGGCGTTTGCTCAGAGGAGACGCTGAGCCTGGGAGATCCTGTGTGTGCCCAGCCTTCTGGAGCGTCAGTCATATTTCTGGTAACTTTTATTTCTGTTAAATTTTATTTATTCCATTGCTGTTGAAAATATGCAAAGCAAAGCATGCACCAATTCATCAGTTTCCACATTTAAGATTTAGTGACGTTGATTATGTTCTAGTTGTGCAATAATTCTCATCCTCCATTTCTGAGACATTTTCCCCCATTAACAAACTCCCAGGCCCCTAAGTTCTTATATAACCTGTTGAATTGTTGTAATTTTGATCCCATAGAGATAAGAGGTTTCCCCCTTTTTTTGTTGATTAGCACCTCATCAACTTCCCATTACATCTTCACCCCACAACAATCTATCCACTAATCTCTGTTGCCCTGGTGTTTTTTTTACTTCCCTCCTTCTTCTTCCACCCTCTTCCTTTTCCTGTTCCCCTCTTGAATAGCTATGCATGTCCTGTTCCCGTTTGTAAGAACCATATTATTCTTTTGTCAATTCTTCCCAGGTTGACGCTCCCTTGCCCTCATCTTTTACAGTGTTTATTTACTGTACAGTAATTTCTGCTCCCTCATTTCCCCTCCAGCTCCCAGTTCCCCTCCTATTTTTATGGTAATGGTCTTATACAGTATTTGTCTTTTTGTGACTGAGTTATTTCACTCAGCAAAATTTCTTCTAGGCTTTTCCCATTTTGTGTAGTATTTTATGAATTCATTGTTCCTTATTGTTGCAATATATTCCATTGTGTGAATGTACCACAATTTCTCTCTCTGGGCTATTTCCATTTTCTTGGTATTATGAATAATGCTGTGATGAGAAATTATTCTTAGAAAAGTGTAGTGCTGAAGGCTGACCTATTTTAAAACTAGTGAACCCAAACAATTGTTCACTTTTAAGAAGATATCAGGGATTTTTGTTTGTTTGTTTAAAGTCTAAAGATGATTTCAGAGTATTATTTTGAGGGTATCATTCACCTTCCATGGTTCCAGGAAGTCTAGAGTGCAGAGAATTTGAAATTCTTTTTTGTATTTCCTTCCCTTTGATCGGCATTCATCTATGTTCAGTAGGGTAGACAGGAGGAGTTGAGCCTAAAATTACATAACCTCCTCTCATTTTTGACACATATCTTTCTCCCTTGCTGCAGGTGAATAAAGACCTTGGATGACTATCCACAAGCTTTTAAGATTCTAGGCTCTACACATCAAATGAGGAAGTAGAACAGAAACACTAAACACATCATTCGGCCAGTTCATTTGCTTGCCGTGAAGTCATCTTCCTAAGTGTCCAAATCAAGAAACACTTGACTTGAGGGGTCTTACTGTACATAGCAGCCTTAACAGTTACTTTCCCCAACCCCATCTTCATTGTTGTAAATATACTTACTACAGAACTTTTATCAACCCAGCTTTTTATAGGTGTATAACTTATTGGCAACAATTATGATAATTATAGCAATTTTTTTCTATCACTGTTAGCCCCCCTCCACTAATGAATTTTGCTCTGTATTCATCTACCTTCTCTCGTCTTTTTATATAAGTGACATTATACAGTATTTGTCCCTTTGTAACTGACTTATGTTACTCAGCATGTCTTCAAGCTCCATCCATACGTGACATAGTATGTAACAAGACTTTAATTCTCCCATTGACTGAGTAGGATTCCATTGTTTGTATGTACCACATAACAACAACAATTCATCTTGTTGATAAGTAGTTAGGTGGTGTCCACATTTTGGCTATTATGAATTGTCCTGTAATGAACATTGATGTACTAGTTTCTTTCTAAGTCTCTATTTCAAGTCTTATAGCTACATATCCATTCCTGGACCAGGAAGGTTTTGTGCGAACAGAGCAGAGAAACGCTGCTTGGTTTAAAATTGAGAAGGGAGTGCATCAGGGATGTAGTCTTTTTCCATACCTATTCAATCTGTTTGCTGAGCAAATAAATTATCCGAGAGGTAGGTCTCTGCGAAGAGGAGTATGACATCAAGATTGGAGGGAGACTTATCAATAACCTGCTAAATTATGCAGATGACATAACCTTGCTTGCTGAAAGTGAGGAGGACTTGAAGCATTCATTGCAGAAGATCAAGGAATGCAACCTTCAGTATGGATTCCATCTTAATGTCAAGAAGACAAAGATTCCTACCACTGGACCGACGGGCAAGTTCATGATGGATGGAGAGGAGATTGAAACTGTCACCAGCTTCATTTTGCTTGGATCCACAGTTAACACCCTTGGTACCAGTGGTCAGGAAATAAGGAGACACATTGCAATAGGAAAATCTGCAGTTAGGGACTTCTCCAAATTATTGAGGAGTAATGATGTCTGTTTGAGGCCTAAGGTGCATCTGATTCAGGCCAGGATATTTCCTATCACTTACTATGCATCTGAGAGCTGGACAATGAATAAGGGTGACAGAAAAAGAATGAATTGATGACTTTGAGATGTGGTGTTGAAGAAGAGCACTGAACATCCCATCAAAGGCCAACAGATATGTCTTGGAGAGGGTGCAGCTAGAGTGCTTTTTGGAGGCAAGAATGATAAGGCTTTATTTTACGTACTTTTGGCATGTTGCTAGGAGAGACTATTCCTTGAGAAGTACATGATGCTGGGAAGGGTGGAGGGTCAACAAAGTGAAGGAAGGCCCACAACCAGGTGGATTGACATGGTGGCTGGTGCAATGGACGCATGTGTGTCAGGAAGTACTAGGATGGTACAGGACAGAACAGGGTTCAGATCTTTTGTTCATAGGGTCGCTGAGTCATACTCGACTCTATGGCACCTAGTAACAACACTAGGTACATATCTAGAAGTGGAATTACTGAGTTGTATAACAGTTCTGTTTTTATTTTTTTTTTTTTGAGACAGTGCTACATTGTTTCCCTTAACAATAGCAGTGGAACACTGTTTGATAAAATGGTAGAAGAGTTGAAAGATAGCCTCCTGACCAACTGACTGGAAGAGATTAATTATTTGTTCCTGTTCCAAAGAAAAATATTCCTACAGAATGTGGAAATTATTGAACAATACTAAGGATATTATAGCTCATGCTAGACGGTTCTTGGCTAAAAGCAGAGTACCAGAGGAATATCTATCTGTGTTTAATTGACTATGCAAAGGCATTTGACTGTGTGGATCATAACAAACTGTGGCTGACTCTGAGGAGAATGGGAATCCCAGAACACTTGATCGTGCTAATGTGAAACCTATACTTGGACCAAGAGGCAGTCGTCAGAACAGAGCAAGGAAACACTGCATGCTTCAAAATTGGGAAGGGTGTACGACAGGAATGTGTCCTATCTCCGTACCTTTTCAACCTGTATGCAGAACAGATTATCCGAGAGGCTGGGCTCTGTGAGGAGAAGTGTGGTATCAGGACTGGAGGAAGATTCATCAACAATCTACATCAATCAGATGACACAACCTTGCTTGCTGAAACTGAAGAGGACCGGAAGTACTTGCTACATATGTTCAAGGACTGCAGCCTTCAATATGGATTGAAGTTCAACATCAAGAAAACAAAGATTCTCACCACTGGGCCGATTGGCAGCATCATGGTAGATGGTGAAGAGATTGAGATTGTTAACAGCTTCAATTTACTTGGCTCCACAATCAACACTCTTGATACCAATAGCCAGGAAATTAAAAGACAAATTGCATTGGGAAAGTCTTCTGTCAGAGACCTCTCCAAAGTACTGAAGAGCAATGCTGTCAGTCTGAAGACTAAGGTGCACCTAACCCAGGCCATAGTCTTTTTAATTACTTGTATGCATCAGAGAACTGGACAATGACTAGGGATGATAGAAGGTAAATTGATGCCTTTGAGCTGTGGTGCTGGAGAAGAATATTGAATATACCATGGACTGCTAGGAGAACAAACAAGTTTGTTCTAGAGAGGATTAGACCTGGTTGCTCCTTGTAGGCAAGGATTCTGAAGCTTCATGTGACGTATTTTGGACATGTTGCAAGGCAGGATCAGTCCTTGGAGAGGGATGTGATGCTTGGGATGGTGGAAGGACAAAGCAAGAAAGGAAGACCATGAATGAGATGGATTGATTCAGTGACTGGGGTAACAGGGTAGGTGTGTCAAAGACAAGATTGGCACAGGATAGAGCATGGTTAGGACTGTTGTACATAGGGTTGCTATGAATCACAGGCGACTTGACAGAAGATAACAGCAACAACAGTAAGAACGATATATTTAATATCACACCCAACTTAAAACCTTGCTGAAGATTATTACAAAATGACTGGAGTCATTGACAGATCTGCTAAAAATTCAAGCTGGATTCAGAAGAGGCTGTGATATTAGGGATATCATTGCTGATGCCGGCTGGATCTTGACTGAAAGCAGATAATACCAGAAAGATGTTTATTTGCTTTTTATTGATTATGCAAGGGAATTCTACTTTATGGGTAAAATAATTTATTGATAACAGTGAGAAGAATGAGAATTCTAGAACACTTAATTGTGCTCATGCAAAACTGGTACATAGGCCAGGAGGCAGCCTTTTGAATAGAACAAGGGAACACTGTGTAGCTTAATGTTAGGAAAGGTTTGCATCAGACTTGTATCCTTCCTTTATAACTATTCTAGTTACATGGTGAGAAAATAATTTGAGCAGCTGAATAAACTATATAAAGAAGAATGTGGCCTCAGGATTGGAAAAAACCAAACCCATCAACAAACGTCCTTATGCAGATGACACAACTTTGCTTGTAGAAACTGAAGAAGACATGAAGCACTTACTGAAGAAGATCAAAGATTGTATCTTTCCAGATGAGATACATCTCAGCACCAAGAAGATAAAAGTCCTCACCACCAGACTAATAGACAACGTCATGATACATGGAGAAAAGATTAAAGTTGTCAATGGCTTAATTTTATGTGGATCCATAATCAACATCTATGGTAACAGGCGTCAGGAAATCAAAAGATGTGTTGCACTGGGCAAATCTGCTGTTAAGGACCTCTCAAAAGTGCTAAGGAGCAAGGATGTCATTTTAAAACTAAGGTGTGCCTGACCCAAGCCGCATAGTTCTAGCTCTTAATTGTACATACTCTAGTGCAGAAAGTGCAGAAAATTGCTAAAATAAAAGACAGGATAAATGATATCTACGGCATTGAAACAGATGAGAGAGAACTATTTTAAAGGTATACGTGATTAGGTATTATTGTCATGACAGGAGTCCAGAACGAAGGCTGCGTAGTGGAGTGGACTTGGAGGGAGGGATTGTATAACAATGAAAGGATTTTTCTTTTACTTTTCAAAGAGAAGAATGAACTGGAGGGGAGGGGTGGGCAGGGAGAAAAGTGCAACAATGAATGGAAATCCAAAGTCTGTAAATTTTCATTAAAATGAATAATAATAATAATAATAAAAGAAAAAAAATCAATGGTAAGACTTGAAGATTAAGTTAAGAACATCTTCTAAAAATAGAATAATTAATTTTTCTTAGCCACTCATAGCATTGCCTCAGATCATATCCCTCATCCTCTTGGCACGATGTCCCTAAATATTCTCCAAGTCACCTTCTCTCTGAAAGTTGCTAGGAAAACCCTCCTCTTTATAATGCTGAGTCCTAATAACTTGCCAACTGACAAGTGTTCTTATTGAGACATGTTCTTGTTTACCACATGCTTTTGTTAATCTACTAATGCAATAGTTTTATTTCCACTCACAAACCAAAGAATGCAAAATATTTCCAAGCATATAAAATTGCATAATCCTGCCTTTCCTTTTGCAAGACCTCTAACATTTTGTTTCACTTTTTTTGTTCTCCCCCTGAGCCCTGGGGTCTCTGGATCCTCCTTGCTTGCCAACTTCTGATGTTTTCTGTACCTCTTCCCTGTGTCCTTAGATGACCTGGTGGAGAAGACACTGTGCACAAGGAACTCCCCCCGGGTCTGCGAATGCCGACCTGGAATGGTCTGTGCCACATCAGCCACCAACTCATGTGCCCGCTGCGTCACCAGCCATATCTGCCCATCAAAGATGGCCAAGGCCCAGGGTAAGCAGTCTCCACCTCAGCCAAGGGACGGAGGTCTGTGCCTTTACTGTGCTCCTTCTTTCCACTCCAGCAGAACAAATATCTTCAACCCTGCCTGTCTACTAGCCCATATTTAAACTTTGAGTAGTTTTTGAATGCTTAGATTGAGTGAGTGGAATAAAATCCAGATTTGATATTTTAAGAAGTCTCTTATGAAAAATCTTCTTTTAAAAGCATTTCTTTTTCTTGAAAATTTTAGGCTAGTGAAAGTGAACTTATTTGTAAGGGCTTTTTGTTGACTCAAGGCAGAATAAAATGTTTATGTAGAAGTTTCCCACTCCAAGATGTCAGGCATTTGCCCATGTGGAAAAGAAGTATGAACCCTGATAATAGGGGCGGGGGGAATGATAAGGGAGGGAGAGACTCCTTAGCAGATGAGAGATTTCAACACATTTCTAGAAAAGACATCCCAGGCTTTGTGTCAGCAGGGATATCCTGACTTCCTCTGGATAGGGCCTCCGGCCTTAGCTTTCTTGCATCCCAGAGAACTGTTTCCTTTGGCTCTCCTGCTATGGAACATGGTCACCATGTGTTCCAGGCCTCATACCTACAGTAGTTCTCAGCTCCTCTGAGCACCTACCTCCCAGCCTTGTTCTCCTGCATTTCTAAGAGTTTTCCTGCTTGCCTGGTATCATGAACCAGACCGAGTCCCTCTAAAATGCATGCCAATTTAGTTAGGACAGGAATCCCTGTTTTGCATGATTATCTCCTCTTTCTTTAATTTTTTTTAAATTTTATTTTATTTTACTATTTTGTGTGTGTGTACTGTCAAATCGGATCTGACTGGTACAGGAGGAGATTGCCCCGCCTTCTCCAGCACAGCATCTGGTGGATTTGAACCACATGCCTCTGGGATTGCAGTGCAACTTCTTGCCACTAGGCCACTAGAGCTCCCAATTATCACGTCTTATGTAATGTGCTGAAATCCTAACCTCTGCCTCTGGTTAAGGAGGTACATGAAAGAGGCTGAGGTAATGCTTGCTATGTTGATGAGGTAGGTTTAGAGCGTGATGCATCACCTGTCTTAAAATTATAACTCTTACTCAGATTGAAGCCCTAATCTGATGGAAGGGGAGTTTTCCTGGGTGTGACCTGTATCACCTTGTTGTTATTAGGTGCTATGAAGTCAGTTTGGATTCATTTTTGTTGGTAGATGGTGTGAAGTTGACTTGGACTCACAGTGACCTATGTACACACAGTGAAACTGCCTACTCTCTTGTGCAACCTCACTGTCTCCACTGTGCTTAAGCCCTCAGTTACAGTCGCTGTGTCGGTGCACCTCATTGAGAATCTTCCTCTTTTCCACGGATCCGCTGCTTTGCCAAGCTGGATGGCCTTTCCCAGGAACTGATCCTTTCTGATAACTGTTCAAAGTATGTGAGGTGATGTCTCAATATCCGCACTTCTAAAGAGCACTCTGGGCTTTAGTTCTTTCAAGACAAGTTTATCTGTTCTTCTGAAAGTCCATGGTGTATTCAATATTCTCCACCAACACCACAATTAAAAGGCACAAATTCTTCTTTGTTGTTCATTGCCTTCCTTTTTTCACATGACTGACATTGCCATGACTTAGTTCAGGTGCATTTCAATCTTCAAAGTGACTCTTTAGCACTTTAAAGAGCTCTCTAAATTAATCATTTGTTTTACTTATAGCTGCTTCCATGGGCATTGATTGTTAATCCAAGTAAAAGGAAATAATTGACAATTTCAATCTTTTCTCTGTTTATCATGATGTTGCTTATTGGTCCAATTGTAAGGATCCTTGTTTTCGTGATGTTCTTGATGTTGAGGTGTAATCCATACTGACAGCTTTGATCTTCTTCAGTAAATTCTTTGACTGCTCTTCATGTTAAGCATGTAAGGTTGTATTACCTGTATATTGCAGATTGTTTACCACTCTTCCTTCAATTCTGAAGCCACATTCTTCATATAGTCCAGTCATTTAAAAAATTATTTGGTGAGCATGTGATTATGTATGATGAACAAGGGAAATCTGTGTGGTGTTAAATTCAGGAAAGGTATATGTTAGATTTGTGTCCTCTCATTGTTTTACCTTTTATATCAAAAGAGATGAAGGGAAAAAGAAAACATAAAGAAGAGACAAAAAGAAAGAATAGCCAAAAATGAAGCACATCCTTTCCATCCCAGGTCTCTGTGCTGAGAACCTCCTAGACCCAAGGGAAGACTGATGCCAAGATACAGGTAGATCTTTAAGGAACACTGGACCCACCTGTGTTGAAAAGAGATAAGGACCTTCCTCCAGGGTTGACAGAGGAAAAACCTACCTCTAGGGATGACACACTGAATTCAGGATTCCAGCCTCCTTAACCATAAAAGAATAAACTTATTTGTTAAAGTTATAGTGGTACTAAATAACTAAGAAACTCAGTGACTGTGGACCAACTCTGATGCAAGAAATCCAGAAAATATCTCTACCATCCAGAGGACCACAACTACATCTTTTCCAATGAGCTCAGAAGTCAGTTTTTCCTTGGGTACTCTGCTACAACTGAGTGTACCCTTTAGAATTTTTGCTACATCTTTGTAATAACTCTCCTCCATAATTTAATGATGGATGGGCAATCTCCCTGCCCCCCTCTCTTCCATGATTTACTGCCTCTGGAAACCAGCTGCAGGGTCAGTTATAGGTTGGTTCCCAGCTCAAAGGCACACAACAACAACAGAGTTTAATACTTATTTATATTAAACCTACTTAAATTATGACCTTAATTGTACCCACACTAGTGCAGAAAGTAAATTATTGCTGAAATAAAAAAAATCAATAGAAAGATTTGAAGAAAAGTTAAGAACATCTTCTAGAAACAGAACCAGAAAACCGATGGAAAACATGAACGAAAATATAATAACACAGTAGATTCATCCGGATAGTCTTACTTTTTACCCCTAGAACTCAAGAGAGTGCATAGACAATTCTGGTAGGGAAGTGGTAGGGTTGGGAGGTGGAAATAACAAATAACAGTAGAAAAATGTTCCTGACTTAAAGACATGAGTCCAAGAGGAAAGCAGGAAAAATGAAAATTACTCACACCTAGACATTCTCACATCATTTTAGAACTCCATGGACAAAGAGAACTAAAAACTCTCAGAGGGTTAAGAACCAACAAGAAAAAGGACCAAGAACAAGTTATCTACAAAGAACTATGCCTTCAGTTTTGAATCTAGATTGCTCACCAGTAAAACAATAATAAAATTTGAAAGTAGAATAAACATCTTTTTAGGCATGAAAACTTTCCCCATGTATCTTCTCTTAGAAAATTGCTTGAAGATGATGTCCAACTAAATAGAGGGGCAGAAACATAAAAAAAAGAGGGTACTGCAGAACTTTAAAATAATGGCTGCATCCCAGGGAAGCAAGCGAAAGAAATTCCAGGACGACAGCTGTGCTGTAGGATGCAACTGGGCTCTATCCACACAGGGAAGTGGAACGCTCCAGGAGTATGTCTACAAGAATCAAAGAGAAGACTGCAATCAATGTAAAGATTAGGAGAAGACATGGGGAGGCATGCTGCAACAAGAAGAGGCTATGATATTCACATGCAAGAGATCCAGCTGTTTTAACTTGGACTGCAATGGCTCCACATTGGTCTCTCTGTCTTCTCAGCAATTCTGATGCACCATTCTTCCCAGCCTTCTCCTCTGTCCATGTTACCTTCTACTTCTTCAATTTAGGATGTTTCTACTACCACACATCCCAGCCAATCTCCTCCCCAGTGATGCTTTCCTGGTCAAATGAGGATGAGTCCTGTTACGAGGACCTACATCTAACCCCAGTAGATGTGTTAGCATCATCAACTATGAGTGGATGGAGATAACACCCACTCTCTAGCTCTTTGCTGCCTCCTAGCACTTAGCACAGTCCCTGGCACATAGTACATAGTAGATCCTCAAGAAAGATCTACTGAGTGGAAGAGAGGGGAGAAAGAAAGAGACAGGAAGGAAAGAGGACCTCAGTCTAGGTCACGCTGACTCAGAATCTTGTGGCCCCACTGGCAGTCACCAGCCCCTTTGCTGGACTGATTCTAAGACATTTCCACCCTCTGCAGGTACAGCTCGAAGGGACACCGCTCATGAGTCACCTCCCTCAGGAAGCCCATCTGACTGCAGCTCCAGCCCAGAGGAGAGTAATATGTCTGCCAGGTGACTACCAGTTCTTTCTCTAGGGCTATCCCTGTCAGGCCCAGGGGGTATTTGGATGGGGCCTGGACTGGATCCTCTGGGCCAAGCCTACCAGTCACTTGGTGGAGACCTGGGCAACACCAGAAAGCCTGAAGGTCAAGGTGCCTGTAAAGTCTGGGCAGAAGGTCTGGGCCCTTTGCCTCATCCGCACAGTCTCCATCTCCCCAAGGACACACTTCCTTTCTTCAGCTCAGGAATCAGTCCTACCTCTGTCTTCTCTCCCAGCAGCACCACCTCCACCGTGCCGTCCTCCCCCCTGGACTCCCACACCAATGACAATCACGAAGAGAGCACCATCCATGCCCAGCAGGACACCTCGATCCCAACCAGTGCTTCTCGTGCCCTCTTCTCCACTCGAAAGCCCGTACTGACCACAGGTAACTCTCCTCTTCCCCCAGGGAGCAGGGACTTTCCCCCAGGACGGGGAGGATTTTAAGCTAGGGCCTGGAGCAGGCTCGGCAGGCTCGACCCCACCCTTACTTACCCTTACTCTAAGGGTCAGGGCCACCCATCCACCTTTGAAGGCCAAGAAGGACAGTAACACAAAAGACTCCAGAAACTTCTTTTGCCTGACTGCTGCCATGAGGAGCCACCATGGAGCTGCCAAGCATCCCACCCGATTAGCTGGCTGACTTCCAGAGTGGAGGGAGACAACGCATGATCATATTGTGAAATAATTTATTAATTGACATCGCTTATGTGATGACTAGTGTAAAATTGGGCACTCTCTAGTAACTTGTTATGTGCCATCATGTTGACATAGCAAACCTATGAACAATGGCTCTGAACTCTTCCCTGTCCTGAGCCAGCTTCACCATCTTAACACACCTACCCCCCCCCCCATTGCCACAGTCACTGTGTAAATACATATCCAGGGTCTCTCTCTCCAGTGCTGACCTTCTACTCTTCCAAGCACGATGTCCTTCTCCAAGGACTGGTCTCATGACAACTTGCCCAAATCATGTGAGATAGAGTTTCAAAATTCTTGCCTCTCAGAAGTAACCTGGTTTCACCCTCTCCAGGACAGACCTGTTTATTCTCTTTTCAGTCCATGGCACGTTCAATACTCTTCTCCATTACCACAACTCAAAGACTTTCATTCTTCTGTTATCCTTATTCATTGTCTAGCTGTCAGATGCATAACAAGCAATTGAGAAGACCACGACTTGGTCAGACGCATCTTAGTCTTTAGAATGACATCATTGCTCTTTAATAGTCTGGAGAAGTCCTTGACAGGAAATTTTCCTAATGTAATTAATCTTTTGATTTCCTGTATGCTGGTGTCAAGAGTGTTGATTGTGCTTGAATCTGATGGCTTAGTGGTAAGGAATTACGCTGTCAATGCAAAGGTGTATGGTGTGAATCCACTAGCTTCTCTAGAAAGATGGGCAGTTTCCTCCTGTGTGATTTACTGTCTGAAAAGCCTCTGGAGGGTCAGCAGTGGGTTGGTTCTAACTTGATGGTTGTTGTTGTTGTTGATTGCCTTTGAGTCGAGCATGGCTCATAGTGACTCTATGAACAAAAGGCTTGAAGCCCCTCTACAACTATTGACATTTATCAGAATTCATAGAGTTTCTGGAGGCGTGCTGTTTAGGAAATGGATGCCACTCCTTGACAGTGCACAATGTTATAAAACAAGATGTGTATGAATGATTGAAAGAAAAACCGTTATGATTTGTAAATTTTCACTAAAACATGTTGAACAAAGTTGATTTCAACTCATAGTGACAGAGGAAGCTTTAAGTTTTACTCAAAGGACAGAATAGCCTCGTAGTAATATAAAATTTATGGAAGCAGACTGCCACATCTTTTTCCTGCTTGTGGATTCAAACCACTAAATGGTTAGAAGCCAACCTCTTAACTCTTGTGCTATTAGGATTTGTCATTGTGTAATTTCCTGACCTGATGGTACGCAACAAGAAGCCACCAGCGCTCCCTCCAGGACTATTTAACCTGGGTTTTAAACAAAAACAAAAAAGGAAAAAAGAAATTATCTTCGATTTAGTTCCTACTTCAGTAACCCTTTAGGACAGAGCAGAGTGCCCCATAGCATCCCAAGCTGTAAATGCTTACAGAGGCAGACTACCACATCTTTCTCCGGAGGAGTAATTGGTGGGTTCAACGTGCCCAACTTTGGTTCGCAGCCGAGCATTTGAACCACAGCACCGTTCCAGCTTTGTGAAGTAGCATTTGTTTCATGCAATTCTAGCAGTCGACACTAGGTGGTGACAATACCCCAAGTCAGTACTGTAGTTCTCAAGGGCTGCACTGCTGGAGTGGGCCTCGCTAACTCCTGGAATTTATTTGTTGGCGTTTGTTCCAACTCTTAGCGAACTCCATACACGCACAGTAGAACCTGAAATTCTCCATACATTCAAATTAGGGTGAGAAAAAAAAACCCAAGAAGATTGGTTTAAATCCACCCAGAGGTACCTGGGAAGAAAGCCTTCGCAACTATTTCCAAAAAAAGGAGCGGCTGAAAATCTTCTGAAGCACAGTTCTGTCTGACACCTGGGTCACTGCATGTTGGTCTGTCTCAGTGGTAACTGTCCCCGGGTAGTGTAAAACTGCTGACTTTCAGCTACTGATCACAAGGGGACTGGTTTGAACGCACGCAGTGGTGCCTCAGAAGTAAAGCCTACTGAACTCCTTCCATAAAAATTACAGCCAAAATCAGCCCACTGGACAAAATCCTTAAAGAGAAGGAAGACCCAGAGAGACACACAAGAAAGAAGGCAAAAAAGAAAAATGTGGTTTGTAGAGAAAAAGAAAAAGAAAATCCTACAGAGTCCATGGAGCTGCCAGCAGTCAGAAAAGACTTGATGGGAACACATTTGGTGAGGTGGGTTTTTTTCTTCTCCCTCAGAAATAGTTTGCTCTTCTTGAAACATTGTAGTCAGCCCGTGATGGGCTGCTTGGAGCCAGGTTAGGAGGTAGATGGCTGAGAGGTGGGCCAGACAAATGGATTGACTTTCAGTCCTTGTTTGAGGCCTGGTGATACAGATTTATCAGCACCCAGGAAATCAAAAGATGAATAACATTGGGAAAATCTACTGTCAGGGACCTCTCCAGAGTATGGAAGAGCAAAAATGTCACTGTAGATACTAAGGTGTGCCTGATCCAGGCTATGGTCTTTACAGTAGTTACTATGCATCAGAGTGCTGAACAATGACTAAAGATGATAGAAGAAAAAGTCTATGAGTTGTGCTGGAGAAGAGTATTGAATGCACCATGGACTGCCAAGAGAACAAACAGGTCTGTTCTGTTGTTGTTGATTGGTTTCAAGTTGAGCATAACTCATAGCGACCCTATGAACAAAAGGCCTGAAGCCCCTCTACAACTATCAACATTTATCAAGGCTCATAGTTTCCGAAGGCATGATATTTAGTAAGTGGATGCCACTCCTGCTTCCACACCTGTCATAATATGTTAGAGGATGAAACCAGGCTGCTCCTTAGAGGCAAGGCTTTATTTTTTTAACCTTTTTTCATTTAAAAAAATTTAAATCTTTTCTATTTTATACTGGTTTCCTCTCAACGTTCATATACGTTGCTTTCATACCGGATCTTTTCCATTTCCTTTACCTACCCCTCCTTTCTTTTGGAAGCAGGAGTGGCATCCACTTCCTAAATAACATGCCCTCAGAAACTCTATGAACTTTAATAAATATCCATAGTTGTAGAGGGGCTTCAAGACTTTTGTTCATAGGGTCAGAATGAGTTGTACTCGACGACTTGAAGGCAATCAACAACAAGAACAACCCCTCCTTTCACACATCAGATTGTGCGACCTCCTAACCCCCCTCCCCATTGGATCCTCATACACATTTTACTAGTTATCTTTCTATTTCTACAATAATTATCTTATATAGTATTTGTCCTTATGGGGCTGAGCTAATTCAGTTAGCATAATGCTCTCCAGTCCCTCCTAAGTTATGTAGTAGTTTTTGAAATCACTGCTCCTGCATGTTGTGTCATATCTCATCATGTGAATGTTCCACAGTTTCTCAATCCATTTGATTGTGGTTGGTCATTTAAGCTCTTTCCATGTTCTTGCAATGGTGAATGATGCTGCTGTGAACGTTGGTGTACAAGTCTCCGTTTGTGCCTCTGTTCTCATTTTCTCAGGGTATATTTCAAACAGTGCAATAGCTGGGTCATATAGAATTTCTATTTTCAGCTTTTAGAGGAAATGCCAAATGGAGGCAAGGATTTTAAAGCTTCGTCTCACATACTTTGCGCATGTTGCCAGTAGGGACCAGTCCTTGGAGAAGGACACCATGCTGGGAAGGGTGGAGGGACAGTGCAAGAGGAAGACCCTGAATAAGATGGACTGACTCAGTGACAGGGTATTGGGGGCAGGTGTATCAGAGACAATGAAATTGGCTCAGGACAGAGCAGGGTTCAGGGCTGTTGTGGTCTTGTTGGGTTTTTTTGGTCTTCTTTTTTCTTTTTCTTTTCAAAACCTGTTTAAGTCTGTGTAACAGCTTGTCTCACTAAGAAGACCAGAATAGGTTAGACTTCTTTGCTATAACAAGCGCAGATTCAGGGCTGTTGTACACAGGGTTGCTATGAGTCACAAGTGGCTCAGAAGCACACAACAACAAGAACAACAACTGCTTACCCCTAAAACATTGTCTCTCTGGTGGTTCAAACATACCAGTAGCTCTGAGGGAGAAAAACGGGCAGTCTCCTCCTGTGTGACTCAGTCTCTGAAAACCCACTGGAGGGTCAGTTATAAGTCGTTCCAACTTGACAGCAATGTGTTTCAGTCCTGATTTAGGAAAGAAACCAGTATTGCCACCTGTAAGGGGATCTAGGCCCCAAAGGATGGAGGAAGCAATCCAGGCCCGGAGTCACCCTGTGTGGTTGCAGCGGGCCTGGCCCTTTGTGTTTCAGGATCTGTGCTCTTCTGGGTGACCATCGTGTTGGTGGCAATCCTTGTCTCCAGCACCTTCCTCCTGTGCCACTGGAAGGCCTGTGGGAAGGGGATTCGGCAGAGTAAGTGTTGCATCTCAGGCCTGGCGAGGGCTAGGAGGGTTGCTTGCTGCTGGCCTGCCCTGAGTCCCTGCCCTGGTAACCCTAGTGTCACTGCAGATGTTGTTTCTGTTGTCGTTCCAGAGCTTCACCTGTGTTTCCAAGGCCAGACCTTCCGGCCCAAGCCAGCGCCTGTAGGTAAGTGTCCAGAGGGCCCAAGGGGCTGCTTGAACTGGCCAGACACAAAGCTGACCCAGACCCTGGATTTGTGCTTAGGATGCACAGAGGCTGGTGGCTCCACTGTTCAGGCCTCCCAAGCTACAGGTGGATGGGTGAAGACATGCCTCAGACAGTGTTGTTTGGGAGCGCGATGCCTCCTAGCTTGTTTCTCTCTCTTTTTTTGGTAGTGTTTTGCTTATTCAGGGTCTCCTTCCACTCCAGATAAAATTGGAAATTACCTGTTCCATATCGTTGATGAATGGATTTGGTATCTGTATTGGGATTGCATTGAACTTGTAGATTACCTTTGGTAAAATAGTCATTTTCACAATATTGAGTTTTCCTATCCATGAGCATGGTATGTTCTATTTCCCCAGGTCTCTTTTTGTTTCTTGAAGGAATGTTTTGTAATTTTCGTTGTATTGGTCTTTTGTGTCTCTAGTTAGATATATCAGTGCTATTTGCACAGGGTCCTGTGCTGTTCCTGTCTCTCCATCTCCCTCCCTCTCTCTTCCTCCACTCCCCCCTCCCCACCCTCTTTGTCCCTCCCTCCCTTTTCCTTCCCTCCCCATCCCCCCTTCTCTTCTCTTCTCCTCTTCTCACTCTCCCCCTTCCTTCTCTTTCCTCCTGCCCCCCTCCTTCTTTCCCTTCCTCTTCTTCTCTTTCTGCTTCCTTCTCTCCCCTCCCTCCTTGTTCCTGCTCCTTTCCCCCCCAACTTCCTCCCCCTTCCCCTTTGTTTCTCTCTCTCTCTCCCCTCTCCTTCCTCTTTTCTTCTCTCCACTCTTTCACTGACTGCCCAGGCAGCCCAGGGGCTTAGAGGGCAGGAGGGCAGGTGATAGGGCTGGAATCCTGCCTCTGCCTTGTGCAAGCTGCGCGACTTTGGGTGTGTTACTTACCTCCTCTGTGTCTCAGTTTTCTCATTTGTAAAATGAGATTGGTGGTACCGACTGCACAGGGTGGATGTGCAGGATGATGGATGCCTGTGAGGCCCCTCTAGTACCAGGACCTCCCTAGTTCTGGCTCTCTGGTACATTCCCCACCTCTGGGCCAGCTTTCCGAGGCAGTGGATGGACACCAGTGTCTTCGCTGTCTGTGAAGCTCCTTTCAAGGCAAGGCCAGCTCTTCTTTGGCATCCCACAAGACTGATTGAGCACCTATTGTGTGCTGAGCCCTGAGCATGACGGAAGGAGGACTGTGAATGGTCTGAGATTCTGTGGACGTTCTGCTTCATTTCCAAAGAGATTTTCCCTGACTTTTCCCAGGATCCCCAGGGAGGTCCATGCGATGACCTGGAAAGTAGATGGCTGGCCCTGGCTGTGAGATCAGACTTAGCCTTGACCTTAGAGGTCACTCAGGGTTAGGCTTAGGACCTCTGTTTGTGCGCCCTGTCCCCCTGTCCTAGCTTCTGTCCCATCCTTCTCCCTCCTTCTAGCTTCCTCCACATCCCAGTATCCACCTACCCTTCCTCCAAATCTACAAGAGCCTGGAGAGCCTTGCAATCACCTCACTTTGGACAAAACATAGCTGCACACAGCTGCATTTTGAGCCTGACGAGTTTCACAACCAGGAACCTAGATTTCCCAAGGGGCGGGGAGTTTGTGTCAAACTCTGCATCTCATTGAAAGCATTTACTTTCTTGATGTTTTTTCCCTCGTTTTAGACTTTTCATTGCTATCTGTTTATTAATTTTGTCTCTAAGCCTTTGTGGTACTAGTTTTCTTGGAATAAAAAATGGAGGAAAGAAAGAGGAGGCAAGTAAAGAAAAACACTTTCCTCATGAAGCTAGACCTAGAACTGTGCAAGGTGCTGCAAGGAGCCTGGGTGTCAGCCTCCCCTGGAGCTGACTCAGGGCCTCTGGGCAGAGGCAGCACCAGGATAAGCACACAGGGTACAGGAGGTGGGCAGATTGGGTGCGATGGGGCCACCACCCCTGGAGCAGTGGGTGTTGACTGGGTGAAGGAGCATGTGTTCACCTGTTTCTTCCTGCAACTGCCAAGTCATCTTTTTCAAACACCTCCTAGGATTCTGTGCTGGGAACAGGCACTGCCCTTGCTCTCCAGGTTGTCAGTCTAACCCTTTACTGCTATGTTCTGTTGTTTGACTTGCCATGTGCAGAGTGGAACTGCTCCTCTGGGTTTGCCAGTCCTTTCTTCTTTCTTGGGGCACCTCTGAGTAGGTCTGAGCTGTCAGCCATTAGGCTAGTAGTGAAGCCTTGAACTGTTTGTGTCACACTCTGTTGTTGCCATTGGTGTGTGGCGTTGACTTGTTCCTGATGCCGTGTGACAGTAGAACTTCCCCGTAGAGTGTTTTACGCAGTGGTCTTGAAAGGAAGGAGCTCTGGTGGCTCAGTGGTTAAGTACTAATGAATATATTTGACTAGTAGTTCAAAAGGACGGGAGGAAGATGTGCCAATCTGCTTCCATAAAGATCCAGCCTTGGAAATTCTGTGAGGCACTTCCACTCTGACCTACCAGTTCTCTGGAAGTTGGGATGGACTCAGTAGTCACAAGAATCTTTACGGGAGTAGATCTCTAGGCAATAGTAACAGGAATCTTTACGGCTGTAGATCTCTAGGTCTTTTCTACCATGGTTCAAAATCACTGGATTAAACCGCTGAACATTTTGGTTAGCTGTTCAGAGTTACTCATTTGTGCTACCAGGGCTCATTTGTGCCACCTTCTAGAAGGAACTAAAGACAATCAGGATGGGAGTGTACACCCTACTGCTCCATCGGCTAAAACTCTAGGGCCTAAGTAGTGTGGACTGCCAAATGAAAGGTTGACAGTTCAAACCACCTCTCAGGAAGAAAGATGAGACAAGGATTTACAGCCTCAGAAGCCAATGATTGCCATGAGTTGGAATAGAACCGTAGGTGTTAGTGGATAGTAGATGCTCAACAATTAGCTGGAGAATTGATCTGGCGTCATTTCCTGAGTCCCTCGCGGCAGATGTTGGAGAAGCATTTATGTTATCCCATCTTATTCTTTCAAAGAACCTTGTGAGGCCAGTCCTGTTAGTGTCCCATTTCACAGAAGAGGAGATAGAGATGGAGGAAGATGAAATGTGTCTAAGACCATATAGCTAATAAAGTAGCATTAAGATTGTATTGTTAAAACAATGTTAAAACATTTTATTTTGTTTTATATTGTTGTTGTGATATACCATCTAGTTAGAACTGACTCATAGCTGACCCTCCTGTGAGTTTTCAGAGACAGTAAATTGCATGGGAAGAGATTGCCCATCTTTCTCCCACGGAGCAGTTTGTGGATGCAAACCACATACCTTTGAGCTGGCAGCGCAATCCCTTGCCACTAAGCCACCAGAGTTCCCTTTTCTTTGATAGCATTAACTAAAATACCCACATTGTATTTCTACTCTCCCTACTTCCTCCTTGTAATTCTCCCCTCCATCAGTCCTTCCATTCCACCCCATCCTGCTTCAGGGTTTTATTCTTGTGCAAATCTTGCTCTGAGGTTTTGATTTAAAAACGGTGTCTCTGTCTCAGCCCTGTTGACCAGAGAATTGTTTGTTGTGTGGACTGTCCTGTGCATTGTAAGATATTCTGCAGCCTCTCCAGATCCCAGTAGCACCTCCCCACATGTGATAATCCCAAATGGCTGCAGACATCACTAAATGCCCTACTCATTCCAGTACTCTTAATTCTTCATTTTCATGGACCCAGAGACATTATTTTGTCTTTTATTCCAGATGGGTTTAAGAGGAAGAAAAGTTTTCTGTTGTGAAAAATGTCAAGCTTACAGAGAAGCCCAAAATCGAGTATAAAGAACTTCTTTTTCCTAAACCATTTGAGCCAGTTGTTGACTTGCCTTCTGACCCTCAAATACTTCAGCAAGCATTTCATATAAACAAGGGCATATTTTTACACTATGGTAATAAAACCACCAACGCCAGGGAGTTCACACTGATGCACGAACACCAACTCATCCTTAGACCCATCCGCATTTTTTCACTTGCCCCAGTAATGCCCTTTTGAAGCAGAAGAATCGTTCAGAGTCACGTGATCATTTGGCAGCCAAGTCTCCTCGCTGCTGTAAGTGTGCGTTGACTTGGCTCCAACTCCTGGTGACCTTGCACGTAGCAAAATAAAGCATTGCCCACTTTTGCACAGTCTCCATGGTTCTTCATACCTTGGAGTGCAAGCAGCCTCTTCATTCTCCTTCAGTCTGAGTCAGCTCCTCAGTCCTCTCCTGGACGTTCATGACCTTGACATGAGGCTCACCCAGTGATTGTATGCAGGTCCTTCACTTTAGGGTTCTCCGACCTTTCCTGGTGGCCAGCCGCAGGTGGTCCCTCTCTGGTAGAAAGATGCTGGAAGTGATGCTGATCTCTGCACACTGAAGCCTGCTGGGTTCCCGCCTGTCCCGTTCCTGGGAATGCTGACTTTGCCTCTCAAGGTGGGGTCTTCCTGCTTTCTCCCTGGGGAAGTGACTCTCTGATTCTGGCTGATCACTAAGTGCTTTGTGAAAAGGTGCTTGAAGACGATGCCAGCCTCATCAAACTTTCATCTTATTTGCTTATATATTCCTGTCTGTCCGGACTCATGGAGTTTTTATTCAGTGAGCTATAACTATTACCGTTATTGTGTTTTTTTTTAAATTTTTGTTTTATTATTTTTGTGTGAGTGTACCAACAAATCAGATCTGACTGGTACAGGAGGAGATTGTCCCTCCTTCCCTGGCAGAGCATCTGGTGGATTCGAACTGTGCGCCTCTGGGATTGTAGTTGCAGCTCCTTGCCACTAGGCCACCAGAGCTCCCCTACCGTCATTGTTTTAATGCTCCAAGTGTCCTAAATTAGGTCAATGGGAACCTCTCTAGGCTGGCTACTCCCTTTTGCATTGCCCATGTTTCTGTTGTAAGAGTACTTTGTTGCTTGGAGATGCTCCAGGCTCATCTTGTGCTCCTGGCCCCACCCTTGGAACTATCCACCTCCTGAAAGAGCCCTGGTAGGAACAAGAT